CCTTGGTTTGGCTCTGTAATCATTAGTGGTCGTGGGACTAGTTTGGGCCCTACCTAAGCTGGTCGAACGTTTCGTTTGGGTCTGTACCCCAGCTGCACTGATGTTCTGGTGGTGGAACAAGTCTTCACGAATAAGGACTATAAACCGTACACCCAGTGTACACAAATGCTAATGTGCACTTTAATGAACCAAGTACATCTGTCGAGATGAGTAGGGGTTACCCCGGTGTTCTGGTTCACTCGGCCCGTGTCGTGGACAGATGAAAGTGCACCAGTTTACTGGCTGCAGTGGACATGAAGTGACCCTCAGGGGAGGTGAAAGTTATTGAAAAGTGCAACATATAGTCCCGAGCGCATAGAGAACTCGTTTATCTGCGCTATATAAATCGATCTATTATTATTATTATTTATTGTTATATATAAAACAGAGATATATGTAATTGTAAAACCTATGAAGCAAACAGCAACAGTACAGGTGCCGTAATTTTTATTAATGGTAAATGAAACGAACGTTGGTCATCGCCTTTCACCCGGTGGTGAATTTAAAACACTTTACAAAATAATATAAATATACTCGGTGCAGACAAAGGACACATAATCAGAGATTGAATTAGATAATAGTTATTATAATTGTAGATAAATAGTAGGCTTATATATAACTTTGGTATTACCACAAGCCGGTTTGGGTATATCTCTGTATTGAACCATGATTAAATATGTATTTATGCGTCTGACGTCATAGTAATAATCGCAACTCTCGGTATCCATTTGTTTCGATGAATTATGGTCAAATATTTCGAGTTCAATTCAGCAGGATTACTTTCCAAAGCTCAACTAATCTCTACTAATCACTTTATAGCATTATACAGTGGTTGTATCTTTAGTCAAGCCGTAAAAAATAATTATGAACGATTGGCCAAAGCGGCAATCATTTTGATTTGACTAGTCATTTTCGAAACGATGAGAAAGACCTATAATCAAAAACGTTCTTGAGCACTTTCAAATTAATTGCGTCAACTTATCCACTTTGTTAAGTCTGGGATTCAAACTTGCAACCTTTCGCATACCTTTTCATAGAGACTTATAGCACGCGCAGATCTAATACTTTCTCCCATACAACTGATTGAAACGCTCACACATGACAGAGCTAAGGGAGAAAATAAATGATTTCCTAGCTACTATTTCTTTTTATAAAAAAAAATATGTTTATATCTCTTTCGTTAATAACAATGATAAACTTACATACACAGGCGATTTACACACGCAAACATACTTCAACACCACCACTATCTTGCTTTCATACACACTCGCACATTCAAAGCCTCGTGGACAACTTTTAAACTAAAAACAAGAGCAAAATATTGTAATCGAAATAAGATTTAATTGTTTATAAGCACACAACACTGAAAGGCACATTTGAGTATCCCGTTATTTGCCCATCGAAACACTTGGCTGGAGTACATGCTGACCGGTTCGCGCATGTGAATGCATTTGCATATTTTTTGATAAAGCATTAGCATATTCATATAAAAATTGCATAAAATATCAAACAACGTGGGCATAATGCAACAATACGTATAATTATTGTACGTGTCAATACTCTATACAGTATAGTCCATTTTTATTATTCAATCACACATTCAATAGACAAATAATATATAACAATGCATATTACATGTATAACAACTTTCGAAAAAATGTATATATATATATATATATAAATAATGCTTATTTTTACAATATTAAATAGTAGGCCTATATCTTCATTACATGCCTAAATAGGTTTGCAGAACTTGTATGTGACTCCTCAAGCTAAGAAAGATACCGATAATTATAGAAATACTTCATGTAATAATGAACTGACACAACAGTAGGCCTACTAAAAGATTAACAGTTATTCTAATACAGAAGTTTCAGTGGTCGAGGCGTCATGATTTGCCTAGCCCACCTGGCAGTGGTTATTGGCACTGCCGCAGTACAGTTATTCTAATAGAGAAACATAAGTCTATTGACAACTAGCTTTGGGAGACTCGGTGACGGTAAACAGCCAGTTCGATAAAAATTTACAATAGATTCTTAACCTTCCTTCTTCTGTAGTATTAAAATAAAATTTGATTGCCTTTCTTAAAAAGCTTATAGTAGTGAAGTAAAAACATATTTAATAGCAAATAATTAAATGTTAATGTCGACAGAGGGGGTTGTGTCATGCATATCTAGTCGAGCATTAATATTTACAGTACAATGACAAATATACTATCTAACTTGTCGTAGTTAGTTACAGAGCAGCTTAGCTCAGTCGGCTAATCAGGAGGTATCCACTGTGTGTGCGCTGAACCGTAGGTCCCCGGTTCAATTCCTATTGCTGCCTCTCCTTTTGTTTCAGCTGGAGAGCTGAAATACAAGTTATAATAAGCGCACCGTCTTTCGGATTAGACGATTAAGCCGTTGGTTCCGTGTGCATTTATGGCCCATGTGCACGTACGAAGGACGCAGTACACTCTTCGGAAAAGAGTATAGGGGGTTGTCTCCCGGCGTACTGCCCAATCACCAACAGAAGGACCCCACTGGAAATAAGTCTTCTAGACTTTCGTGGGCTATCCTTGGTGTTTACACCGAATCAATCCAATCCATTCCAATCCATTCCAACTTGAGTGCTGATAGCACAATATTGCTTTATCTCAATAATGAAAGTTCTTATCTTTATCTTTAAAAGCAGATAAGAAACAGAAAATGCGTACGTTTTTCTATTGGATTGAATTGTTGTTTTTTTCTCTTTATCTTATAATTTTTATGCATTTTTTGCCTCAGTATTATACTAATAAAACCGTCTTTTCTCGTTATGAGTTATCTTTTGCTTCTGTTTTAGTCTGTTTTGTTGTTTTTAATGGCATTTTAATTATCATTTTATGATGCGATTGTTTGTCAACTTCAAATTTGTAGAGCCAGTTATTTTAAGGTATATCTTTCTTACAATACTGTAAGTTTTCTTTTAGAGTAGATAGAACCAGATTAGTTCCAATAAAATCAAATCAATCTACGTTTGTATATTGACGATTTGGCAATAAGAATAAACTTACAAAATAGAGAAAAACAATAATTTCAAACATTATACTCTATAAATGCAAAAGAGTGAAAAAAGAGTGAAAGAGTGCCTACAGGGACCACTCCTCATGGAGTGAAATAAAAAGAGTGAGATGTCACTACATTCAGAGTGAATTTTAGTAATTTTTCGCTATTTTAAGATTAATATTTACTCATTTAAGAGTGAATTTTCACTCGAAAATAGTGAAATTGGAGTGGTCCCTATAGACACTCTTTTCGAGTAAAAATTCATTCTTTTACATTAAGAGAGTAGGTCTATTTCATGTGGTTTTTCCTACTTCTTGTGGTTAGGTTTTGTCACTGTAAATTATGGATGGATTATGCATAACGTTATTCCAGAAAAAAACACCCAGAAAACACAGAACGATAGTACCATAAAAGAACGTTGTGAGTGTTGTGGTAGGTTATGTCACACACTAAATTCATAAATACGTATATGGTTCTTCAATTAAACATTCGGAAACTCAAATTTCTGCGGCATTAATGCACATTGTTGGAAACATTAATTGTTGAATCACTATTACTTGCATCTTTATCTTCGGAGTTTCCCTCAAACTTACATACATTGCATGCATACATTGGCATGTTATGCATTGAACCACACAATAATTAACTCTACACTTTTCTCCCGGTGCACACATCATTTGTGCTCCTGACATTTGTGCTGTAATCCATTCTAACTCTCATTTGACCATGCAATGCTAAACCCTAAGATTAGGGGCAAGTCTAAACTCACCATTTACGACCTTTTTATGTTAATTTACAAGTCGACTTATGCCTATAATATACGTGTGGCCAAGTTGGCCTATGTTGTCAATTATTTCAGATTTCATATTAATTATCAAGTGACCCCGTCGTGCGCTTTAGCCGCGTGTAAAATTATCATTGGGTAGATGTAAATTGGTTTACGCGCTCACAGAGTGGAAGCTCTGGATGTTACATTACAATAGTGTATAGTTGAATTCCATTATTTTATATTCAAATTGAAAACCTTGTATTATTTGTGATTCCAGAAGCCAAATTTCAAACTATGAAAAGTATTTACTGAAACCATAAACTACCCATTTTTGCAGCAATAGATGAGCGTGTGGCTTTACTTTAACGTTCCGTTTCGCTGAGTTTTTCCTCGTGCAGTAATACGGTTTCTGTATCATTGGCTTCGGCTTCACTCAGTTTTATATCATCAGGTATGGTTTCCTGGTTTGAATCTTTAAATATACTTTTATCTGAAAATAATAATGATAAAAAAGTTAATAAATTTGTAATGTATAATAATGTACTGAAGGACTAATACTTTAATAATACTTTCAGTTAGTCGGGTAAATATTCTTTCACTTAATTATTCATCCATCCATCAATCAATCCGTGGGCAGTCAGTCTCCCGAACATAGCGCGTGCGTGCAGTTCTTTGATTTTTACTGTGGCATCGACAATCCTATACTAGTTGCAAGTATAGCCATCAATTATTAGTGTCTGCGTGCCATACGTTTTATGGTGTTAGTTACTGCTGTATTTTATTAATTTTGGGCACTTCACAATGTATGTTACGTCTGATCAGGGAACAGTGAAATTAATTTCACTGTTCCCTGGTCTGATTTCTGTCGACCACGTGTAGAATGTCGATGCCAGAGTTATAACCGAAATGTGCGTCCTGTTGTTAAATTGGCTTGGTCAGACAGACACCAAATCAATGAAATGTTACTCAAAAATATTCACAAACCATCTTTTGTAGCCGGTGTGTTATTGGAATTATCATCATCCCGGCCTGCTTGCATTTGTTTCTGAATTTCACCCAGCTCAATGTGAGCGTCTGTTTCTGTAGGCGAGGCTAACAGGAAAAACGAAGAATTCAACAGCAAATATAATACAAAACATGAACAAATTGTTTCATTTTCGTTCAGAAACAAAAAAGTACAGAAAATAACATTAAATGTTATTAATACTTTACCAAAATAATTTGCGTTCGTTTATATATCATCATCGTAGTCGTCATCATCGTCGTCAACATCATCGATCATTATCATCGATCATCATCACCGATCATTTCAGCACCGATTATTATCATTATCATCCTCATCATACATTTTTTCTCTCTTTCGTGGGGGCAACCCACTTTTATTCATTCTTCTTTTTCAATGTCATTTTCATTCATTTGTACATAATTTTTAAAAATAATCATGTAAAAAAAATAAAAGTATAGGTGAAACTGTGTTTGGTATTTCAAGTTTAAAAAAAAATTAAAAAGACCTTAAGAAATAAAAATTATGTAAAATCTCATAATTATGTAGATATTTGGTTGGCGTAACAAATGGGTAAGTTTAAGTAAGAGAGGTCCAGATTATTATAAATAAAAACAGTAAATAAGCCCTTAAAGTAATCATACTTCTTCAAAACAAGAAAATGTAGATATTACTGACTTTACACATTTGGAGGAGGTGGCTGAAATTTTTTCTTACCGACTTCTTCTAAAGGTACTCTTCCAAAAACCTATTGAAAAAAGATCACAAAAATAACTCAACAGGTTACAAAAACGGGAAGGCAATTAATACATATAACTATAAAGTAAAGTAGGCCTATTTATTTAAATATTTTTTATAATAAATGAAAACATATAAAAAATTTACTGTCAAAGTTACTGTCAAATATGAAGTTCAATATTGAAAAATTATTTCTGACCTTATTTTATGGCAGAGTTCGGGTTTTAATTTTATTGCTGGAATTTTGATACAAATCAGTACGGTACATGTAGATTGGTGAATTCACGTTTGAAATTGAAAATACTATTATCTCGATCTCTCCATTTTTGGATGGCTGTGATGTAGTTTTAGTATATAATTTTACATATTACGCACATGATTGTTGTTTCTATACGCGTGTGTGATATTTTATAATTAATAACGGCAGAATTATGAAAGCATGTTTAGAATACACTTTGTGAAAGGTAAGTCCTAAAAAGTCCTAAAGCCATGCAAATGAGTGACTGCTATCAAAGTACACTAGATCGTAAGTGAATCACTTACCAGTCCCTGTTTAGATAATGACCTCAGCCGCAACAACCCTTGTCTCGTGCTTCGACCTCTTGCTAATTCAATCTGAAAATGTTTAGAAATAAGACATGTATTTCTTTCGAAATGTTACACTATTGAAGTTTTTAATAAGGTTTTTTAGATAAATTAATGTATACAGATTCCATGTGAACAACTCGGTGTTCAAATTTAAATATGTCTCCTGTGATTAAATTTAGAAACAATTCCATAACATTCAATAAAAACATGAGTTGTCCTGATATATTGATAGGTCACAAATCAACTCGGCTCCAAGTCAACTTTGCTCCATGTTAACTCGGCCTATGTCAACTCGGCTTCAAGTTAGCTCGGCCGCAAGTCAACCAGGCCCCATGTCAACTCGGCCCTAAGTCAAATCTGACCCAAGTCAACTTGGTCTTGTGGTACAATAAATGAAAAATTATTTATTGTAATATAGATAAGCCTTGTTTTGGTAATTGAATCTGGTTTCTAGGTTGAGTGCAATCGGAGAGAACGTCTCTGAATGTAAACAACATATTAAACTTATCAAAA